TGTCATAAAAGTAAATTACATGCATTTTTTTAGTTGAGAAAAATTTTCTCAGCAAACAAACACTAGAAAGTGAATTTTCTCACAAAAATTTTCTCTGCAAACAAACACATTAAAACTAACTGAGAAAATAAATTTTCCTTTTCTCATCCCATCCTTTCTCAGCAATCAAACAGACCCTAAGGGGTGGTGTTAGAGTCAACTATATAGGGGTAGTTTTGTCTTTTCAGTATATTATTAGTGTGATGTAATGTCTATTATGTTCAAGTTTAAGTTATATGTCCCATACTTAATTAGGGGCATAAGAGTCTTTATGTACTTAATTAAAAACGTATAAATACAATCTGGCCGACTAGAGAATAGTCTTCTTCTCTAGATTGAACCAGTTTTCTCCTCCTCCTCCTCCTCCTCCTCCTCCTCCTTCTTCTTCTTTCTCTCTTCTCTCTTTCTTTTGTCTTTATTCTCTGCTAAGCTAGGGCTGAAACCAGTACAGATTTGTTCTGTAACAACCAACATCTTCACCAAGGCTATGATTCAATCTCAACATCTTTTTTCTTTTTGAGAAACTGACACTTATGTCTTCACATCAATTTAAAGGGGAGTGAAGAAAATTTGGGAGTTAAAGACTTTTATTGTATTATATAAGTATAGGTAGGGATGTCAATGGGTTAGGTTAAATGGTAAACCCGGCTTGACCCGACCCTATAGGGTCATGTTAGGGTCAAGTATATTCAGTTTAGGGTCGGGTTAGGGTTTTGGTTCTTCAACCCGAGTCGGGTTCAGATTTTGGCTGGTCGTCCCAACGGGTCATGATACCATGCATATATAAAAAGTATACTTGTAATTTTTTGACTTCTAACTATATAGCCTTAAAATTTAAGTCTTTAAGATTTATTTACATATTGATTTTGGTTTTCTTCTTGTTTTAAATGGGAAAAGTGACATTAAAATCTATAAACAATTTCCTAACTTAAATTAATGGATTTTATGTCTTCAAAACATGTTTAAAACATGCAAATGAAATGGTATGGTCTGGTCAGGTTGGTATTGGTTTAGACCCTATAGGGTTGGGCCGGGTTTGGGAATCATGCATTTTATAGTTGGGCTGTGAATCGGGATCGGGTTGTCGCACTAGAGAGTCGGGTTAGGGTTGAGGCAAATCCGTGCCGAACCCAACCTGTTGACATCCCTAAATATAGGCCTTTTTTTGATAAATGATTGAAATTTTATTCAAGAAATTCAATAAGATATTACAATATACCCTGCCCAAAGGAGGGGCACAAGCCGGTGCCTCTCCACAACAACAACAATGTACTACCTCAGACTAGTAACAAAAAATTTACAAAGCTGCCCAGAACAAACGTTCCCTTGATACCCCTTGTTTAGCTAACCCATCCGCTATGGTGTTAGCTGTTCTACCCACCCACTAAAAATTAACATTCATGTTCCTTGAGAACCATTTAGCTTTCCTCATAATATCCCTGTAGCACCAAATCACTAACCCATCCACTAAGTATAGGCCCTTTTGCACATTATTTATTTCTTTTTTCTTCATCATTGCCTTGTATGGACAATTTTTGTAATGGTACAGCTTTCTACACATAACCATGAAAAATGCTTGGCTCTTTAGGGTATTTTCTCTTCTTCTTGTAGCTGTTTACCTGTTTGCATGGAACCCTAGTTTGGTTGTCAACTAGTAGGATGGTACTCCCATAATAGTTGGTGGAAAGCAATGTACAATGAAGATTATGTCAAGAACAGAAGTAACATATTGTGATCTTGAGCCAACTACTACAAAAAAATATGGAAAGAAAAGTTAGGAAGTGAAACAAAATAAACTAAAAAGAAATTGCTTACCGGATCACTTCTAAAGAAGACCAACGATGTGCGTGTTAATATAAACCATCTTTTCTTCCATGATGTCCATCCTATTCCTACATGTAGGAAATTGCAAAGCGTTAATCATTAACAAAGTCATAACCCTAACAACTAGAATAGCAGAATGAAGTGTATCAACAACCCAACTCCACATGTTCAAAACAATTGATAATTTTTCCATTGAAACTTTACGGTTATTGCTTAAGTGAGGAGTAAACAGAATTACAAAAATGAAAAAAATATATATAAACAATAAGCTTGCATGTCAGAAATGTTGAATACCACCACTCAAGTTGATCAAAGAGAATCTCCATGTAAGAATGTATTGATTAACTATAACAATAAGCAAAGGTGAATAAGTGCAATAAGCAAGTAAAGAAGCAAAAGTTCTATGCATGTAAAAACCCTTGCATGGGATTGCTTTTGGTGAACAATTGAAAAAATATGCTGGAGTCTTCTTTTATTTGTAGGACATGGGTTGTTTTGAGCGAACTGTATGCCTTTTGATGTAGCACTACCTTGTCCTCTCTTTTTTGTACATTATAATCTTGTTTTTGCTCAAAAATTTTCTTTTGTTATATTAAAAGAGTTGAAAAACTAAAGATCAAAATAATTGCTGCCAAAAAATGATAGGGCTACAACTCCTAAAAGGGGCATAAAAGGCAGTAAGATGGACATATTCAAGTATACTGTAGTCATATACATAAGAGGAAAAGAAAAGAAAATTTTAAATTTCCAATAGAAAGTAAAGTTGCAGGTTATGATGAGTTGATCACAAACAGAAATGAAGTAGTTGACTCAGTTCTTCTCAAGCTTTGCACAAGGAATTTGATAACATTCTGAAATGGAATTCATCTTTTACATTGCCCTAGTTCCATTTGGAGTGAGTGTATTATTAGTTAGGTGAAAAAGGATCTAGGAGTTTATCTCTGTAATCATTCATGGAGAGAAAGAGAGACGAGAGAGAGAAAGAGAAGAAGAGGAAGATACGATTGAGAGAAAAAGAAAAACATACTCTTGGCTGCCGCCAGTTCATTATTTATATTAACTTAATATAAAAAGAATGGAAATTACAAGTATGCCCCTGGCGGCACTCCCTAGAAA